TGCATTATTCATTCGCTTATTACCCACCAGTCTACCGTTGTTTACAGCGCTTTTTCTTTTTTCACTTAAATGACCTCGGACAAGCAAGCCTAATTTCTGCTGTTCAATACTGAAGAAATTTAAATTTCTTAAAACTATGCAAAATTGCAGAATATTGCAGAATATTTTTAAGGTTATCTGCTATAAAAAGCCAGACCAGGAAAATCTCCTTCATGTTTTCCTGTGTTTTATTCTCAGTTACTTTCACACAAAGGCATCTGCTGTGATTTTCACAATTCTGATGAAGTCTCATGTGTATCAGTACTGATAAATGATCAGAATTATAATATTTCTGACTGTCTGAGGCTAAATTGAATCAAATCAGGACTTTGAGAACCAGAATTGAATGGATTATAGAAATCAGTGATGATACCTAGCCCTAGTGAGCAGCCTAGGCCTGAGAGAAGTGGATGTAGCTGTGGGTAATAAGAAAAGATGAAAAGAACTATTGATAACTTTTTTGTTAAGTTAAGGCCTGATCTGTCTGAAATTCATAGCCAGTGCTCTGACACGGTGCCATCAATATTTGAATGCTGAAAAAGCACAGTGTATCCAGAAAACACATTATATGCTGCAATAAATGCACTGCCCAAGTGTCCCCTCTCCCCACGGCCTTTCAGCAGCAGACAGCAGCAAACAGGTCGTCAGAGGAGGCCAAGATGATGATTAAGTTTAACATTTTCTACAATATTGACAAAGCACTTTAAGCACAAGCTTGTTAGTTAATAAGAAAGTGCACATGTAAAACTGCGGTGTTAAGCGATGCGGTTGAAAAATTTGAGTGCGCCTAACTTTTGTGCTGGTACGCCTAAATTTTTAAAGTTAGGCGTACCGGTGCGCCCATGTAAAAAAGTTAGTCTAGAGCCCTGAGTTGGTGAACTGGGTAGTTCCGTTCTGCATGACTCAACTTGCGGCTGGCAAACGCTACCGGGCGGAGTCCTTCTGGGCACTCTTGGTTCAGGACTGCTCCTAGACCATCCAAACTTGCATCAACATGTAGGATGTATGGTTTGGCTGGATTAGCAAATGCCAAGACTGGAGCATGTGTGAGCTTGTAAACAATGCCCTGAAAGGCGTCATCACAAGCTGGGGTCCACCGATCACCAAAAGGCTCGGCAACTCGAAAGAAGCTATTTTGCTTTCCTTTAGTGACACCCTTTTTGCTACCCTGTGCAGGAGGATATCCCTTGGTCAGTTCTGTCAAAGGGCGGACTATGGCGGAGTAGTTCTTGATGAACCGCCGGTAGTATCCACAAAATCCGAGAAAAGATCTTAGGGATTTCAGATCAGTGGGCTTCTTCCAGTGGGTCACCGCACTCACTTTCTCAGGATCAGTGGCAACTCCAGAGGCAGAGACAATGTGTCCCAAGAACTTCACCTGGGGTTGGCAAAATTGGCACTTGTCCTGCCAAACACAATAAGGTCATCCAGATACACAAGGACTTGAATCAGGTTCATGTCTCCAACAGCTCTCTCCATTAACCTTTGAAAGGTTGCGGGTGCGCCAGTGATGCCTTGAGGCATCCTCTCAAACTGGAAAAACCCAAGAGGACAGATAAAAGCTGTTTTCTCTTTATCAGCCTCAGACATCTCCACTTGGTAATATCCACTTCTCAGGTCCAGTACAGAAAACCACTTGCTTCCTGTCAGACAATCCAGTGCATCATCTATGCGTGGCATAGTGTACTGGTCTGGGATGGTTCTGGAGTTCAGTAGACGGTAATCAATACATCTGTGAAGGTTCTTAGTCATCCAGGTCATCGTAGTCAAAGGAGCTTGCAAAGAAAAGCGTCTTGACTTCTTTAAGTTGCTTAAGTCCAGACGCTTTTCTTTGCAAGCTCCTTTGATGGTAATCAATACACATCCGCACCTTGCCATTCTTCTTCCTGACTATGACAATTGGGGAAGCATATGGACTGCGTGACTCTTTGATTATGCCGGCTGCCAGCAGTTCTTGTAGATGGCGTCGGACATCTTCAATATCAGCGGGTGCGATTCTGCGGGATCTCTCCCTGAATGGTCGAGGGTCTCTCAGCCTTATGTGGTGAGTGACACCTTTGGCTAAGCCAACGTCCCACTCCTCCAGGGAAAAAACATCTGCTCTTTTTGATAACTTTGCTGCTAACCTGGCTTTCCACTCTTCAGGGATAGGAGAATCTCCAAAGTCAAACAGTTCAGGGTCAATAGACCTTTCTTGGGCGGAGGTCTTTGTTAACGCAGTGACAGTGTCCACCAAGTACACCTGAGCTAGCACTGTACCAGTGGGGACAATAGTCTCTCTTTGGGACTCATTTCTTAGCAGAAGTGTGAAACTGTTAGTGTCCATCTCAGAACATGGTAGTACCACAGGTGGAACCAACACTCCAGCTGGGAGGTTTGTAGATTCGCCCACCTCCACCATTAGAATACTTTTGTCTAATGGCTGCTGTTGTTCCACCTTGCAAACTGCATACTGTACTGCACAAAGAGGGATAGTGATTGGCCCGGGGCCTTGCCACTTCACATGACCCACCACGCCTGTTTGTTGGGTAATATGTGATGAGGGTTGTTCTGAGGAGAGGGTATTTATTTATCCTCAGTGAGTGAACCTCATCTTTCCCTCCTACCTCTTCACAATCTCTCAGCAGAGAATGCAGTTTCTGGGAGTTAGTGCCAATGATGACAGGAACCGGGTCTGGGCTCTTTGGATCTGGACACACCAAGGCCAAGACAGTGACTGTCTCTACAGCTTCCTTCGAGTTGGGGGGGAAAACCCACCTCAACTGCCACATACCCCTTGTATGAGTAGTTGGAATCACTCAGTCCCCATATGGCGAGATCTTTTAAAGGAAGAATGGGCACATTGGGGATGAAACGGGAATACCAGCTCTCGAATATAATGGTGACTCGAGAGCCGCTGTCAAGGAGAGCTCTACATGGTTGTCCTTCTATGGTCACATCGGTCATCATGGATGGGCCAACCAATCCTTCTGGGAGTCCACACTGTGAGGATGTGTGCACGGAACTTTTCCTAATGGAACCGACCTGTGTGGGCTCAGAAGCGCCACCTGTAGCTCCTTTTCCCTCTTTGCTCCTACGAAGGGCTCCGAGTAGCCTCTGGATTACTTTGGCAGTGTTTTCAGGAGCCATGCAGCGGGTGGCAATATGGCCATTCTCCCCACACCGGTAACAGAAGTAACTTTCTGAATCTTTTGCAGCATATGGTCTGTTTACCTTGCTTCGTCTGGCTCTCCCATCTCTCTTTGTTGAGTCAGTTTGGGTTGAACCCTGTGACACTGCCATAACAGTCAGCTGGTGTTGTAACTGTTGAACTTGCTGCTTTAACTGTTGGACTTCATTCTCCGCCCCAGCCTCAGCAACTTTCTTGGTTTGTTTCAACATTAGCTCAGCATCTGAGCGCTTGCTTGTTAACTCTTTAAGCTCAGAGCGTAACTCTTTGATCTCGGCTTTGAGCTCTTGAACCTCTGTCGATTTGGCTTTTGTCTCTTCGCCAACTTTCACTTGTCTAACTGTGGTGTTTGACTCATGCCTCACTCTTGCATGGTCTTCTTCTTCTCGAATCTCACTGAGCAGCTTCAGGAAAGCGGGTGGCTCTTCCTTTCTTTCTCTGAGTCTTAGCTGCAGTAACATTATCTCTGACTGAGTTGCACCCCGTATAAGCTGGTCAATACGTGCACGGTCGACTCGATGGCTAGGGAGACCCCCTCTCTGCACTACTTTGGTCAGAGAGCGTTCCAATCTTCTCAGGAAGTCTGACAGCTTTTCTCCTCGCTGTTGACCCAGGCTCCTGAAGGCGAGGTACAAGTCTTCACCTGACTCCAGGGATCCAAATGCACTTTCTAGAGCCTCTACATAGCTCTCCGGGCTAGCATCAGGGTTATCTCGCCATACAGCTTGGATGATCTCCAACGCCGGTCCCTTTAGGCTCTCAACTACTCTCCTTCGCTTCTCTCTCTCAGAGCAGTCACACTCTTCAATCATCAGGCGAGCCTGCTCAACCCAGCTATCAAGGCTCTCTTCACCTGCTGGAGTGGAAGAGTGGCCAGAGAATATCCGCAGACGTCGAGATGCAGTATTCTCACTGGTAGGTCGCATAGTTTTTGCTAACAGGTCTCCGACTGCCCGAAGGATGGATTCAGGGGAGTTTTCCTGCGGGGTTTCAGTAGACAGCAAGGCACTAACATCATAAATTGTTTTGCCTTCTTCTACCATTAGTTTCTTAAGCTTGGCTGAGAAGTCATCAGCTGACCTCACAGATTCAGTGAGGAGGGAAATCTTCCAGACAGGCCCTCCGTTCAATGGCTGTACATGTGGTGGTATGCGGTCTGGCTGAATATCTTGACGGCATTCACACAGCACAAGGTTATTGCCTGTCTGGGTGTCTCTTAGTCTATCTCTCACTTTTACTCTTCCAAAAGCTTTCACTGACTGAGCTGTCTCTTCAATGTCTGATAAGTCAAAATCAGAAGGAACATCATGCAGTACAAAAGCCCGGTTTGGGTCTATACCTGCTTTACTGCACCAGCTACTAAGCTCGGGTGCAATTTGAGACTCTTTTCGAGTAGTCATCATACAAACCCTAATGCTGGTGTGCTAAGCTGTGCAAATCTGTAAACAAAATACTCCTTTAAAGAACAAACTAGAAAAGTTAAGCACGGGAGCATCCCAGCGGTGCCTCCATAATTGTGTAACACCTGTCCCACGTTCTATTGAGAGGGGCCCTGGGTTCCTGTTGTTACTTTCCTATTGATACTCCCTTTTTAATGCTTATGGTATTAAATATGCAATAAAACTACACTATATGGAAATAAATCACACACAAGCAGGTTAATTATAAAGTTAACTCCACTTTAGTGAATGCTTAATTAACAACACAAAAGAAAATAAGTAAAATCAATAAAGTTTGTTAAACAATGGTAAGGTATCTACCTCAACAGAAACAAAATAATCAAATAATATCCCAGGATTCTTTTCTGCATTCTGGCGTCCTTCCATGAAGACACAATTACAGTCAGAGTACGATAATCTAACAGATATTTGACAAAAAAAACCAAACAAAAAGAATGAGAATGAGTTTTACTTCTGTCTGATGACTGTTTGGACATCATTTGATTTTTAAAATATATATTATATATTTTCTATGTATTGATTTTGTGAACTTTTGTGATAGGTATATAAACAGTTGATGCCGACCTAATCTTTTCTTCATTATGACCTGAAACCAGTGGCTCAGCCCATAAACTCATCAGGAAGGTTTGTACTGATGTCAAGGGTATGATTCAGTGGTCCATTTTGTTTAGGAAGATCCTGAGTGAGTGAAGCAACCTGGAAGTCTCTACATGATGGCCATAGCTTCAGAAGGGTTCAGAACATTGTAACAGTTACAAAATAATCGAACACACTAACACAGTCCTGTTAATAGCAACATTTGGACAGGCATTTCACTTTTATTGTTACAGATTCAATAAAATCTGTGATAAAAAATTAACTTCCTGTATGCAGATTACTGAGATCACTTTATTTCTGCTCTGTTTCATTAAAATAAGAGTGTTATTGAGGTGTGTGTGGTTCATCTCTAAATACTGATCATAGAAAGTTAGTGTTTAAAAAAAAAAAAGAGTCAAGTTTGGGGGGTTTAGGTTTGAGCTAAAGCACACATCCATTCTAATAACATCTCCACCTCTCACGCCAAATAAATCAACTCATAGGAATAACTTTCACAGCCACAATACACATGGCATAAGGCCAGCCCCCCACTTCTATCCACAACTTTAAAAACTGTCACAATGGGAAACTCAGATGTGTGAACATGGACAGAAAGACAGAGACAAACCTCAGTTTTTCACTAATTAGCAGTTAATAAATTCACTGATCTACAATAGTTTTTATACCACTGTGTTAGCAAGCCTTACCTCCCTTTCTGACATATTTAATCTAAGTAATCGATAATGAGTCAGAGTCACATAATGAATCAAATATATTTACATATTCAGCACCAAACAGTTTATAATAATTATAATAATTATATATAAAAATATAAAAACTCAAAACAAATACATGTTTATTATGTAGTTCACAGAGGCAGGAAGCTTTCTGTCCTTCTCTTGAAGAAATTTGCTATTACACTAGAGCGCATTAGCAGGTTTCAAACTGCATTAACACACATATTACTGTGCATCGTGTTTTACCAGACATGTTTTAACAGGCTTTCTATACTGTAAACAAAATCTGTAATTTACCAGAACTTTGTTATATATTTTTTTTTCAGAAATTTCCTGTTATTTTTAAATACATGAAATATCATTGAATTACAAAAAAGACGTGAATTAACATGTCGAATGTACAATAACGTGAAAAATTGCACCTGTAAATAAAGATGATTTATTTGCAGATGTTTTTGTAATTTTACATAGATTTGCTTGTTAATCAACTTCTATGTTATGTAATTTTGTGTTGTTATGGCTATGTAACATCAGAAAGTATTAATAGACTGTCAGTTGGTAGGTATATTTACAGTAATTTGCAGTAATTTCACAGTCTGTTTTATAATAGTCATGTATCTTTTGTCATTATTTCCCCTAAATTGGTAAAATTATAGAAAAGTAATAATAACAGAAATACATATTTTATATTATTCTTAAAATAGTCACAAAATAAAGTGAAGTGAGACAAATACAATCAATAGCATTTTAACCCTTTCACTCATTGTGGTCACTACAGTGGACAGCTATTCAAAGGCTGTTTTTTTGTATTTGTATCAGTGTTGATGGTATACTTGCACATAAACCACTACATAAGACACTGATGTGCACTCGTTTGTCAATTTCATAAATTAAAACACATGTTGTCCACCTAAGTGGACATGTAAAAAACTCTTTGAAAAGTACATTTTAAAATTTTTTGTCTTTTTTTCATGCCTAAAGATGAATAAAAATACTTAAGAAAAAAATCTTGATTGAGGTTGTCATAAAAATATCAAAATATATTTGAGTTTTTTCAAATATAAAAATATCAGAAAGAAGTAAAGGTCGAAGTCAGGAACCATTCTGCAAACAATCCGCTTTTGGATTCTGCTTTTGAACAGGATCAAAGAGTGTAGGGCAATCACTCTGCACTGCAACGTGAAGACCAGTTAACTTTCAAATCCGCAAAGATGCAGGGGGGAAATGGTCTTTACATGGAGAGGTCATTCTGGATTCTGGAACACTCACAGAGGCACAGTGTGGAACATTTCAACTTATTCAACATTTTTATCTTTTTTCAAATAACAAACAACCATGGAAAAATTCAGGGAAGCTAAGTATTCACAATTTGAATCAGGTGAAGGAACAAAAATGAACCCTACAAGATCAATCAGCTAAGCACTGTGGATGAGGCAGCATTCTGAAATTGTTGTTGTGAAACCAACTATAACTCATTTCAAAGGAGGACTAAAGTTCCATCATGAATCTGTAAGAAAAGTAAACCAGACTGTACCATTAGGCTGCTTACTTGTGACATTTTCAGCTAAAAGCCCACCTTGATTCTCAGGTGGGGATTAAGTCCAAGTCTTTGACTTGAATGTGACATCAGCATCAGCATAGCCATTATCTACATCAGTGGATTCGCCCTCATTAGTCATTTCTTGGTCTGGATTATATTCAACTTCTGACACTTCCCCCTCTAATCCATCTTCAGTGTCAGTTTCCTGGCTTCTCTTTCTCCTCACCAGTGTGGTGATCAAATGTGTAATCACGAGCCTCACTCTATATCGACCTGCCACGGTGCTGCCAGACAGTGCTCTGTGAGCAAGGCTTAGAAAACAACGAATCATTTCTATTAATGGGATTACGTTTGACCAGGAACACCAAGAGTGTAAAAATGCTCAATAAAATACACAAAATGTTATGCAAATTAATCAAATTTAGGTTGTGCATTGACATCCTCTTTGTGGAGAAAGTCACAGAATCTTAAGTCTGTGTGATCAAATTAACAACACTTTTCAGACATAAAACTATTAAATTGGTCAAATTTGACCACAACACAACACAAGGGGGCTAGTACAGGAGTAATGGCTCCCACCACTGACACGCTCTTTGCAAATTTCTCGTCACTGTTTTGCCAGAAAGTCTTTCCCTGTTAACAGAAATTGTGTGAGCCTCCGATGTGTGATGAAAACAGGATGTCAGAGCAAACCAGCCAGTTCTGGTATTCTATGGGGAATTCCAATGGATACATGGTGCTGGGCAAGTCCCACTGCACGACTGACAGCGTTTGTTCTGTTCCTCATTGCACAAAGCAGCCATCACTAGTCCTGCTCTCCTTGTTTAACAGCATATCTCCTGGTATCTCTGTCACACTCTTGCACTGTGTCTTGCAGTAACAATGACACTACCAAAAAGCAAAAGTAGAAAAAAATAGGATGGATTAGGAGAGAGCAATGGTGTTTGGGCACCTTTCCTAGAAGATGGGCAACCGTTTCATTCAGGTTCACAGTCACACCTGTACCTGTCGCCAAATACACCTAAAACATCTTCAGGTGTCTATAGCATGTTAAGATTCGTTCGATTTGGGTAAGAGAAGAAAGCAGGCTGAGTCCAGGGAAGGTGTCAAAATAGTGATCTTTAATTACACACTCTGCGCATAAGTGTGGGAAGAAAACGTGCAACAGATTCTCCAAAGAGTGGACCGTTCCCCATCCTTATATTACCCATGATGACATCACACAGTTAGACCTTACTGGAAATGATAACAGTCTCCCCATAGTCCAAAGTTCTCCTTATACAAACATCAGATGATACTTTAGAGAAAAACAAGTGTGTGACATGTCATGTTGTGCAGTTCTGTGAGCCTGTGTGTCCAACTAGAGAATGTCCTGACATGACCTCCCTGTGTAAATAAGGGTGAACGTGCGTGTTTACATAACTCTCTATGTGCATGTTCTGATGTAGGCCTGCAAATGAATTAGAACAAGGTCCTGCTAGACCCTCCAGTTATGGACGGTGAATACAATGCTGTGGATACCATTTGAGACTTGATTACAATGATGATAATATGCATACATTAATCTTTACTCAGATTACCATAGATATAAAACAAAGATTATACTGTCATCAGATTCCACAATGGTAAATGATTAATCAATGATAACTGATTATGAGAATACAAAATAAAATATCTCCTGATCACACTCCTCCTCTTTGGCCTTTAGAAAAAAGGCCAACATTTAGAGATATTGTGTCACTCCTCCGTCCAAGCGGCTTCTCGCAACGGCATCATATGTTCCGGACCAGCTGACCCAGCTGGACCAGAGTCTAGGGCCCTGCTTACCAATTTTACCAAGACACGCCTTAGCAGAGGAATGAAACAACACCCGATCATCAACATTCCTAGAAAAACCATAAAAGAAAACATGGCAGACATAAACACTCCCTTTTCATTGCCCAAAAACAGACGTCATCCGATCCTCCAGCGCCGTGTTCACACCTGGATGTACATACATTGTTAAAGTGTTTTTCACCACGTCCGTCGCAAATTCAAGACATGTGTAAATATTTTCGTTTAGGCGTGGATCGACGTGTTTGTGTACGTTTGTCAATTCGCGGATATAAACCTGATAAGGTGGTGCAGTTACCTGTGTCCACAGCCTCTCTAGTTAATTTCAAAATACACTGATAACCCCAGTCATCCTCTGGATACAGAGGAGCGGGCTCAGTAAACTGTGTCAATCATCTACTTGCTGTTCTTTAGCAATTTGAGCCATCCCATCCGGCGACTCAATCAATTTGGACTCTCGAGCGGGTAGACCTCTGCGTCTGGGCAATTCACCCGTCTGTCAAAAAACAAACAAACATGTAGCAACACTCATACATGTCAACTCCCCCTTTATTTTCCAATTTCCCCACAACCCAGCTGAGCTTTTAGCTTCAGACTCGAGTCTCAGCCTGTCACGCTTCAGGCCTCTTCGCCACCTCCTCTTGGAGTGAAGAAACACCCTCGGATTCTTCTTTCTTCAGCTCCCCAGGTAGACTACTGAGTGAGCTAGCCACGTTGCAGAGGATTATTCTGCCTCTGTTTTACCACCCGTGTTGTGACTTGGAATGAGCTTTTCCCTGAGCTCCCCTCTGCTCATTCACCTTGAGACCACTAGAAGCAGAACTATTACTTCCGGAGCTTGGCACGCTCCCTCCATCTCCTGGAAGCTCAGTAGCCCAGCTCTCTGTGCCATTTCCGCTGTTCTGCTCAAGATGATCCCTGACGCCTCTCCGCTCACGTCTCATCCAAGCATCCCCCGAGACCTCATTGTTCTGGTGTCTATTCCTTTCTCTGCAAGAGACAGAAAGCCAACGCATCTCCCTCGCTGGCTCTCCTAACCTAATGTTGTTGACTTTGTTCATTCCAATCCTATGCTATGCCTATGTGACTGATTTATCTGATTCTGATTCTGATTCCGATTCTATGTGTGTAAGCGTGCATGCATTTAACCCTCTTCACTTGAAGTCAATACCTCCAATATATCAATCCGATCCTTCGTCAACTGGACCATCCCGTCTCCTTATAAGCACATTTGCAATGTGT